GAAAATACTCAACACAATTAACTGTGTACCTGACTTATCATTCTGCACAGCCTAGTTACATACTATATAATAGCATATTCCGTATTCAGCTTTCTACTTCGGTTGCCCATCAGCCTCCATCACCACAAATACTTCAAAGGAATGCATAGCAATATGCTAACAAACTAAGAACAAGGCAACCACAACACTTTCTGTACCACTCTCCTGATTGGAGGGACACAGAAAGCAGTACAAAGAGTTATGAAAAACTGAGGCACTTCTGACAAGATCATCATTAGGGACATCAAAGTGAAAGTTTTTTCTTTGCCAATATTGTATGTACTGGCAAACATCACTGCAAAAGCCCCTTTAATTCTCTTTGTTGCCCTTTTTGACTACAAAACTGAGATCATAACTATAAAAAGGCACTGGTGTCACTAATGTTGCATATGCCATGATTTCAAACATAATCTTGCTTCTTTCGTAATATTGAAAGGAAGCCCTGATATTCTAAATGATTTTTTACCAAAAACATTGAGAACTAGCAGCCTTGGCAATGGGCTCTGTTTTTAACACTAAGAGAAGTCATTCTAATTTCAACTATACTTGGTAGTGCTTTTGTTAATTGTAAATCAGCATAAAGCTTCCAATCCCAAGAAATTGAGGCATTATCAAGCTACGTTCATCCATGCGGAACACAATTATCGACTCATTCTTTTTTTGAGGAAAGATCAGAGTTCAGCAGCTACAACGGAACTGAAAGATTATTTTTGGTTTCTAGGCAACAGCATCAAATCTTACTTCTTAGTCATCTACATGGGTGCACAGTTCAATTTCTTAGGTGTTAGCATATTGTATTAGAAGGTGGGGGGCATTTCAACTTTCCTGAAATTAGACACTTGCTAACTCAAGTTTACCTACTATGCTAACTGGAAATAAAAAGGCTTGAACACTTGAGACCTTAGTTACTGTCCATTATAGTTAGACTGTAGCTATATTGATATTAGACTAGAGATGTACACTTATGATGTTTTGCAGTCAGTCAGGGATTGATTGGACATTACTACAGTATATGGCTAAATATACTGAGAGAGTCTAGACTCCAGACCAAGAATGCATGACCCACAGATAAATGCTGGGCCAGAATTGTACTTTTCTGATTTATCTTTTCCCCGCTTTTTCTCCTTATAAGAATTTTATAGGAAATTTGGCACACCAGCTCCAGAGCTTCCTTTTTTTATCGTGTCAGAAGCAACTTAAGAAACTACAAGTCACTTCTGATGTGAGAGAATTGTCCATCTGCAAAGACGTTTCCCAGGACACGCCTGGATGATTTACCATCCTTTTGGAGGCTTCTCTCATGTCCTCATATGGGAAGCTAAAGCTGACAGATGGAACTCACTCCATCTCACGAATTCAAACTGCCGACCTTCAAGTCAGAAGTTCAGCTGGCAAAAGAGTTTAACTATATGTCCTCTCAAACTGTCAAATATATAAAGTTAGCCCTGAGAAAAAGAGAAACTTTTAAACTGTCTGATGACAAGAATTAACCTCAGGCCTATTTGATATGTTTATATTGCCAATTGAATTATGTCTTCTTCTTCGTTATATCTGAATATGATTCTGGTTTATTTTTATGGTAGCATGCAATAGCCAGGTTGGTTAATGTAGAGCAGTGGTTCTCAACCTGTGGATCCCCAGGTATTTTGACCTACAACTCCCAGAAATCCCAACCAGTTTACCAGCTGTTAGGATTTCTGGAGTTGAAGGTCAAAACATTCATGGACTCACAGGTTGAGAACCACTGATGTAGAATAAACTTGAACTCAGAGGGAAGGAAGTGCCAAGGTTTTCCTCACTCTATTCCCATTTCCCCCTTCTCCCAAATACTGCCAAAGGACTGTTGTAGTGATGTAACGATGGCAACAGGTTGCTAGAATCAGCAGGTCAATATACCCAGAAACAGGTCTGAAAGTTGAGGCACCAAAATGTGTGTAGGCCAGTGTTATATTTTAAAAACAGTCCCAAATCATCACAAATCATCACTGCAACTCATGTCACTCTTGCCTTGTGCATTCTAGAACCCTGGATAGTTAATGGGGGGGGGGACGGGACTGGTGTGGGAGAAATACTCAAAATTAATTACTGTGATCCTTTCACAACTCACTACATACACAAAAATGGGGAAGGTTTTCACCAATTCAATCCTCCAACTATCTGTAGAAGAACTTGAGATAAACTCAAATACCAAAAACCAGAAGAACATTAATAGAATCTGAGAGTAGGGAGAGACTACAAGTGCCATCCAATCCAACCCAATTTTGCCATGTAGGAACAAGCAAACAAAAAGTCCTGATCCAGCCTCTGCTTAAAAGCAGCCAGAAACGGATACTCCCAACACACTTCAGAGCACATATTCCACTGCAAAACAGTTCTTACAGTCAGGAAGTTCTTCCTAATGTTTATGTTGAATCTCTTTTCCTGCAATTTGAAACCATTGCTCCATATCCTAGGGTGCAACGGCAAAATTAATGCATTTTACACCTCTTTAATTAACATGGCCTCATGGTATGGAATCCTGGGAGTTATAGCTTGATGAGGCAGAGAAGGCTAAATACCTTGCTAAACAATAGTTCCCATTATTCAATCATACTGAACCATGGTAGCTAGAAAGGTGTCAAATTCCATTAATTCTGCAGTGTGGATGTACCCCTAATTTCTGCAACAGCAGAAAACGAGCTTGTCCCTTCCTCAGGCCCCTCGGTACTATCCTATATCCCAGGATCTGATCCCAGATTATCTGCTTTAAACTAGATTATATAAATCCCCATTGTTAGATAATCTGGGATAAGAAGATAATCTGGGATCAGATCCTGGTATATAGGGGCAATTTAGATAGGGCCTCAGGGCCCTACAATACAGTCATATAACCCAGAATATCAAGGCAGAAAATCCCACAGTATCTGTTTTGAACTGGGTTATCGGAGTCCACACTGCCATATATTCAAGTTTAAAGCAGATAATGTGGGATTTTATTCAGCTCTGCAGATGCGACCATAGTTATCTGAATCCATGCTGCCATATATTCCAGTTCAGAGCAGATAATGTGGGATTTTATTCAGCTGTGTGGCAGGGGCCTCAATATGACATTCTTTTAGATATGGTATGACTGTAATGATCCATTTTATCCATTTCTTTTCCAGGCTAAACACACCCAGTCCCTAAGTTTTCACCAATGGGAGAAAGATGGGCTACTCATCCTTTTAAAATAAATGGGCCACCAGCAAAACCATTAAGCCTACCATTTATTTGGAGAGAGTATCGATTAGACAATTCCCCAGATAACCTGGCCCCAACCAGGACCCAAGATCTCATCCTTGCACTTTACTACTGCTCTGTACCCAAAGGCATAGTGTTCCATCTTATACTGCCTGCTATCCCTAATATTGCCTCTTTACCCACCAGCCCTATCCTTACAATTGAGTTGCACCAGCCTGCTCACCCGTGCCGTGCCCAGAAATTGTTTATGATTTGAGGTTCATTGGTTGCTGGTTTGATGGTTGCTCTTATATTTTGTTATAATATTGTTGTTTTATTTTGTTTTATGCTGTTGTTTTTATATTTTGGTGTGTTATGTTTTAACCATGTTTGTTTCGGGCTTGTCCCCATGTAAGCTGCCCCGAGTCCCTCTGGGGAGATAGAGGCAGGGTATAAAAAATAAAGTTGTTGTTGTTATTATTATTATAGTATTACAATAATTCTTCAGCATATGTTTTAGATCTATGTATTGGAAAGTCATACATAACACAGTGTGCATCTAAGCTGTGAGCCATTTGACACCACTTGAACTGCCATGGCTCAATGCTATGAAATGAGTAGAGTTGTAGCTTGACAAGATTATTTATTTATTTATTTATTTACTGCATTTCTATGCTGCGTTTTTCAGCCCAAAAGCAACTCAAGGTGGCTTACACTGGCACGATTCAATGCCACAATAGACATAAAAAAATTAAAACAAAATTAAAAACATTTAACACACATTATAAAAACCCTGTTTAAAAAGAACATAAAAACCCGGTAAAAAAAATTCCCTCTCCCATACCCTTAGGATAGGACTCCAAATAACAAATCTGAGCAAATGGGGCAGATTTACTAGGGTGGGGGTTGGGAGGGGGTGGGATTGCTACAGGTATGTATGAATCTTGTGTGTATATTCCTTTATTTTTAATGTATTTTTAAAACATAATAAACATTATATATATCACATCTGCAGAGTTGAATAAAATCCCACATTATCTGCTTTAAACTTGAATATATGGCAGTGTGGACTCGGATAACCCAGTTCAAAACAGATACTGTGGGATTTTCTGCCTTGATATTCTGGATTATATGACTGTATGGTAGGGACCTAAGGCCCCATCTAAATTGCCTCTGTATACCAGGATCTGGTCCCAGATTATCTGGCAATGAAGGTTTATATAATCCAGTTTAAAGCAGATAATCTGGTATCAGATCCTGAGATATAGGATAGTATCGAGGGGCCTGAGGAAGGGACGAGCTTGTTTTCTGCTGTTGCAGAAACAAGGGATACATCCACACTGCAGAATTAATTGAATTTGACATACACACACACACACACACACAAACATACATACATACGCACACACAAGACCTTTAGCCTTCTCTGTTAAGGGTGCTGGTGCCTCATCAAGCTACAACTCCCAGGGCTCCATATAATTGAGGCAGGGCAGTTAAAGTGGGTCCAAACTGTGTACATTCTACAGTGTAGAGCAGGCATGGGCCAACTTGGGCCCTCCAGGTGTTTTGGACTTCAACTCCCACCATTCCTAACAGCCTCAGACCCCTTCCTTTTCCTCCTCAGCAGCTTAAACTGAAAGGAACGAAAGGGCAGGGCCTGAGGCTGTTAGGAATGGTGCGAGTTGAAGTCCAAAACACCTGGAGGGCCCAAGTTTGCCCATGCCTGTTGTGGAGGCCCCTTCCTTTTCCCACTGACCACCGACCTGCCTGCCTTCATCCTTGCCTTTCGGCCCATTGTTTGGCTGCTGGGGAAGGTTAACTTCCCGGGAGTATTTCCGCGCAGCTGCCTCTCTCGGGGCTCCGTTTCCGCGGCTGGTGCTGCAGCCACAGCTGCCTTGGGCCTCCTCTCCTCCGAGATCCGGATCAACCGCCCCTCTCTCTGGACACACGGCCAAGCAAAGGCCGAATATCAAGCAAGCGAGAACCAAGCCAGGCAACAGCAGCTTGGGCGCAGCCATGTTGAGAGGGGAGTCACGTGACTGGGGAAAGCGGTCAGCTGACCTTTACGTTCCTTCTCCCTCCTGAATAGGAAAGTCAGGCCTTGTGGAATGAATACAATCTGACAACACTTGAACTGCCATGGCTCAATATTATGGAGCCATAGGATCTGTCCTTTTGCAATATCTTTTGCCTTCCCCGCTAAAGGGTGCTGGGGCCTCACCAAACTACATATCCCATCATCCCATATCATTCAGCTACTTCCGCGGGGAAGTAGCAGCCAATAGTGAAAGGACCAAGGCAGAGACATCTCCAGCTCATCCTCTTTGGGTATCAGCCAGCACGTCAACGACTTAAATCTAGAAATAGATTTCTAAGATCTACAGAGACACTCGCTGGAACACCTCAGCAAGCGAGAGTCCAAAAGTGGCAGGCTCAAACCCAGAACCTCAACCAATGGCTGATACCAAATGAGAGACTCCCTCCTGGGCACACAGAGGACTGGGCGACTTGGAAGGCTGAACAGACTGCGCTCTGGCACCACGAGATGCAGAGCCAACCTTAGAAATGGGGCTACAAAGTGGAGACCACGACATGCGAGTGTGGAGAAGAGCAAACCACTGACCACCTGCTGCAATGCAACCTGAGCCCTGCAACATGCACAATGGAGGACCTTCTTGCAGCAACACCAGAAGCACTCCAAGTGGCCAGATACTGGTCAAAGGACATTTAACCAACTACCAAACTCACAAGTTTTGTATTTGTCTGTTTTTTTCTTTGTTCTGTTAGAAATGTAATATAATGGACTGGTTGCTCTGACACAACAAATAAATAAATAAATAAATAAATCAGCGATGACAGTTCAAGTTGTATGAAACTGCAGTGAAAATGCACCCAATGTTTCCGCTATCACATTATTAAACTGCAAATCTACTACGAGGGTGGAATGAAAAGTAATGCCTCCACGTTCGTAACTCCTCATCAGATGGCAGTACTGGTATGCGACAGGTACTGGCTTGTTCAGTAGACTCTCCTCTACAGTTCCATTTTGGTGGGAAGCCTTAACAGTTGTGCTGTTAAAGTGCGAAGTATGGAACCTTGTGTAGATGGTCGGTCAATGCAACTTAAGCAACGCGCAGTCATTGAATTCTTGACAGCAGAAGGTGTCACCCCAAAGGAGATTCATCAGAGAATGCAAGCTATGTATGATGATTGTGTTGATGTAAGTACTGTGCATTGTTGGGTGAGTAAGTTTAAAGATGTTGAGGTAGGAACATCTGCCTTGCATGACAAACAAAGAGTTGGACATCCTGTGACAGCAACCACCGAGTTTCACAAGCAAAAGGTTGACAGATTGATTCAGGACGATCGTTGTATCTTCAAGCATAATTGTCATTTCACAAGAACGTGTGGGTCACATTACTTGCTTGGCTATCAGAAGTTCTGTGCACGATGGGTTGCGGAAACAGAGTGTCGACTTCTTCCATGACGGTTTCAGAAAACTTGTTCATCATTGGCAGAAATGTATCCAATTGCCTGGTGGTTATGTGGAAAAGTGAATAGTGGTAGTTAAAGAGCACATTTTGAGGATTGTTTCTGCGTTTGATTTATTAAAATATTCCCATCCAAACCTAAGTAACAAAGGTGGAGGCATTACTTTTCATTCAATCCTCGTATATAAATAAAAATGTAATGTTCGTTTGTGGGATTAACATAATTCAAAAAACACTGGGTGAATTGCCGCCAAATTTGGCCACAAGACACCTACTAACCCAAGGAGTGACTATCACTAAAAAAAAAAATATTTTGTCATTTGGGAGTTATAGTTGCTGGGATTTATAGTTCACCTACTATCAAAGAGCATTCTGAACTCCACCAATGATGGAATTGAACCAAACGTGGCATACAGGAAATTGCATTCAAAGCACCCCCGACAGATGGCCATCCAGCCTCTGCTTAAAAGCCTCCAAGGAAGCAGCCTAAGTAGAGTATCTTGCATTTGTCACTGTTGAACTTCATTTTGTTAGTTTTGGTTCATCTCTCTAATCTGTTAAGATTGTTTTGAATTCTGCTCCTGTCTTCTGGAATATTAGCTATCCCTCCCAATTTGGTGTCGTCTGCAAACTTGATGATCCTGCCTTCTAACCCTTCATCTAAGTCATTAATAAAGATGTTGAACAGGACCGGGCCCAGGATGGAACTCTGCGGCACTCCACTCATCATCACTTCTTTCCAGGATGAAGAGGAAGCATTGGTGAGCACCAGTCATGTAGCCCGGGGGGGGGGGTGGCTTGAGGGGCCATTCTCATGATGATGGTTCGCGAAAAGGCCTTACTGGTGCATTATTTAAACTGTTATGTTTATTCATACCATGATCTGATCACCATACTCAATATGGGGGTATTGGGGTAACGATACAAAAGGTTTGCTAGTGTAGACCCTCTTTCACTCAGACTCAGCCCCAAAACAAACTCAGCCCCCCCCCCCCCCAGATGGCTACGGACCTGGTGAGCACCCTCTGGATTCATTCATTTAACCAATTACAGATCCACCTAACCGTAGTTTTGCCTAGCCCACATTGGACTAGTTTGTTTGCCAGATACGCTATATCCACGGCATTCCCTGCATATACCCAGCTTGTAACTATGAAAAAAAGAGATCAGAGTAGTCTGCCATGATTTGTTTTTGATAAATGTGTTGACTATTAGCAATGACCGCATTAACTATCTTTTCCAAAATCTTGCCTGGTATTGACATGAGGCTGATCGGACGGTAATTGTTTGGGTCATCCTTTTTTTTTCGTTCTTGAAGATAGGGACCACATTTTCCCTCCTCCAATCTGTTGGAACTTCTCCTGTTCTCCAAGATGAGGGTACACCTACAATGTAGAATTGATACAGTTTGATCCCACTTTAACTGCCCTGGCTCAATGCTATGGAATTATGGAGTTGTAGTTTGACAAGATCTACAGCATTTCTGCTAAAGTGTGCTCTACCAAAATACAGATCCCAGAATTTCATAACAGCTAAAGTGGTGTCAAACTGCATTCATTCTACAGGGTACATAACCCCTATGACATTCCTTGCAACAGGAAACCACCCAGAAGCCCTAATACTGACAATACGATTATAATTTATATTTGGAATTGTCTTCTGGTTTGCAGTTTAGCTCAAATCCATTGAAATTAGTTTTGCAACAAGTAGCATCCCCTAGAGAGAAGATGCATCTCCAACAACATAAAAGGCAAACATAGGGTGCATCTACACTGTAGAATGAATACAGCTTGACACCACTTTAACTGCCATGGCTCAATGCTATGGAATAAGATTTGTAGTTTGGCGAGGCACCAGTACTATTTATTGGACAGACAAGGCTCAAGACCTTGTAGAACTAAAACTCTTGTGATTCCACAACACAGAGCCATCATAGTTAAAGTGGTATCCAACTGCTGCACTGATTCTAACGTACAGATTCAATGGTAACAGAATTCACATAATGATCACTAATCAGATGGAATTACCAACCCAGATGCACACGCAAGTCATTTACTAGGAACGATGGCTGCAAATATATGCACATCTCTGTAATGCTGAGATGACTCACCAGTTTAAAAGGAAAATCTGGCTAACTTAAAGGATTGCTCATATTCCTGGTTATGTAAATATAATATATAAAAACTCCACAAAACATCATAATTCATAACTATTATAAAGAGAAAATGAACACATCATTGAACATTAACTATTGCTTTCATTTAACTGTTTTGCTTTCTAGCAGAGGAAGAGTAATAACACAACTGTTTTCTATAAATACCTTCCCTTAGATCATTCCCCATGAAGGCTAATTAAGCTGTCTGCAATGTTTTATAAGCATTTAATAGTTTGAACATATGGGTCTCACTACGTGTGGCTTCCTAACTTCAATCATATTTTTTCCCTATTACTGCACAAGCCATGTGCAATATTTTCAATGGGACTAGCCATGTTGGCCAAAGAGACTCTGGGAATGCGGCATCAGCTCTTTCCAATTCATTTTAATAGCTAACCACACTGAATATCAATTTAATTTTTACATGCAGAATATTGATGTGATACCATGAAATAAAAATAAGCAACTTTTTAAATTAAGGTGTTGGAATGTTTTGTTAGTTTTGGATTGAATATATGAGCAAAGATACCCTTAGAAATTTCCAAGATTTAAGAACTGAATGTTCTAGACATGGTTCTGTGTATCTGTCATTGGTCTCTCTGGCTTTGTGACGTCCTTAACAAAACAAGAAAAGGACAAAAACTAAGGACCACCAAATTTAATTAGGAAGCTGAGCCTCTCATGCTGTGCTCAGGGTCAGGCTGTGCAGACTTTTCTTTTTTTCTTTTGTAATAAGGATTGGATGGTTAATCTTGCTCTATATTAATTGCAAAAGCAAAAACCCCTATCAAGCTCAACTTTCCACCAGGGAAAATGCCAGATTGAGAGCTCATGCAAAGGAGAAAGCAAGTGTCTTGGTGGATTAAACTAAAGGTTAATTTAGTTCAGCATTTTGTTTCCCAGCCAGATCCCTCCTGGAAGATGCAAGTCAAGCTCCCTTTTGCTCTTACCGGCTCATTTAGCAGCCTGGATAAATAATTGATATAAATCATGGCTGCCAATATTAGTTATTAGACATAAGATGGACAGTTACAAGTGTAATCAGTCATGATTTCAAAAGTTACTAAGGCCAGGAGAATTAGTAAATATTACAACAGTTACTTTTGCTTGAGAAGAGCAAAATCCAACCGCATCCTTTTCTCTCCCCTCCCACGGGATTACTTGAGAGAAAATGACTTTTGCATTTTGAACACAGTTTGCAGCAACCGATGTAAGTGGAGGACAAAGAAGGAAAATGGGAGGAGAGAGAAACCGGGATATTTTAAAAGCATCTGAAAAAGTGGGATGGCAGAGGGTTAATCAGAGATGTCCCTGCCAAATCTGGACAGTTGGAGAGTAAGACCAACGAATGTTTCTCCTTTTCTCCCTCTATCCATGCCTCTTCAG